GTTTTCATATGCGTTTGGCCAATCAATGTCTACTTATGTCACGATTAGTACCAGTTGTGCTGGTTAGACCCTGCTCCGGAGTAGGAGCTAATTTGGTTCTCGAAAAAGGCAGTCCGGTACTAAAATTGCACCCAGTTCCGGCGGTGCGAAAACGCCAAAAAGTGGGTAGTTCCACAATTAGTTCTGGTACTATGAAAAGGTTCCCGCGGTGCGAAAGGCCCTTCAAACTACTTTTGAAAAGTACCAAAACTAAATGATGGACAGTATTCTGTGACCTTCATGCATAAATAGACTAGAAACTACAAGTACATTTCACAAAGAAACAGCAAGTAACAAATTGAATTAAATGTGGACTTTTTAAGACAGAAAAACTGAAAAAGTATTTTCTTGTCAAATGTACTCCAGCAATCTTTTACAGTTTAAAACTAAAAAGTAGAACTCGCACAGACAGCCGCTGTAGTTGAAGAAACACCATGCAGTTTGTGTCCCATATGTTCAAGACTACAAACTAAAACCCCTAGCTAGTGATAATTAAAGTTTGATTAGTGAATTCACAAATCCTCCGCAACTGGGAGAATTGATGTATTTATGGGAACTCAGCCTTGAGCTAAATATAGATTCCCTCATAAATAGCAACTATCATTTACGCTGTATCGGAGTGAAGACATCCTGTCATTCCACATAAGAATTCCCCAGTCAGTCAGTCAGTCAGTCAGTTGGTGAAGGACACCTCGTGTGTGTGTTTAGATCAGCGAATCAGACCCAACGTTACCCTGAATCTGCTCTCTGATTCGCTGCAGCAGCAGAAATGCTTTTTCAGCCTGGAACAGGAGTCAGCTTTAGAAAGGACTAAACAGATTATCTTTCGCAGATCTAACCTGCAAACATGTCACGCAGTTGCACGGCTCCAAATACCCAGGGCACCTTTGTGCTTCTGTTTATAGAAAGACTTGAGAGCCTTGTGATGGCATTATAAGTTGTCGCCTAAGGTTTTCCTCGTGTACCTGCTCAGTTCGCCTCCAGCACACACCAGCTGTGCACATTTAGCCTAAAGACAAGCAAATATGATTAGAAACTGTAGTGTGAACTTGTAGTGCGAATCCGAAAATACCACAGACGGGAATCCGTATCTGATGTACAAAAATACATTTATTTGAAACTATTCCAAAATGACAGTAGTTTTCCATAGAAATATCGAAATAAAGATGGAACAATAACCATGAGTCATGCAGCTGTAGATTTTGTGCGACGGGAGATAAGTATTACAATTATTTGTTTGCCAAAACATTACTGGTTTTCTATCACACGTAAATCGTATGGCGAGTTTCTTTTCCACCAGCTTCATTTAGCTTTAATGTTTATAGTGTCGTTATTGTTACAAAGTCATGATTTATATTACAAAGAGAGTGTCAGCAGAGCAAATAAAACCTGATGGATATCATACAACTCCACTGAACGAGGGAGAGAGGGCTCATTAGCACACAATGGCATTAAATAAAGAAGCTAAAAGAACACAAATAGTTGTTAAACGTCAGCAAGTACTGTTCTACATTAGAAAGAGGTTCTCACTAACCTTAGATAGCAGGTTATAGAACAAGTGCTCGGCTCTCCAGACTAACCAGAACTTTTACACTGAAGGTGAAAATGCTGCATGTGCAACAAAATCACAGCCAATCAGAACATTTTCTTGTTGTAGAGCTCACATTTGGACCAATGAGATTTCTCAGTGCATTCAACAATATACTTAGGCCTAAAATGTAAGATTTATGTATTTGAATTGCATATAAAATTTCCGTTCATTTGGATTACACCGTTTTAACATAAACTAATAAACTTAATGTGATGCATATTTGTCAGTCATACATACGTTTTGTGCATTAAAAAAATAGTATTAGCTATTTGTATCTATTGCATTTTATTTGAATAATCATTTATTTTTTAAATGAATCCATTTTTATTTTTCAAATCACTTAGAGTCAGCATAAATCTGTTAATTGTGAAAACAATAAGATTTATTTTAAAAAGGGTGAATAATAGCTGTGGAATAAGCAATATTCAATTATTTAAAATGTAAAAATAATAAATAAAAAAACATATTGATGATAAATATATAAACCTGGTTATTGTGTATTTATAGTACTATTACAGAAATCCAACCTGTTTAATAATAATAAAAAAAAAAAAATTATACAAATCAAATTTTCTCTATAATTTGCCTAGAATCAGCATAAATCTAGTATTTGATAAAAAAATATATATATAAATATTTTTTAAAAATATTAAAATGTATTATTCAGTTAAAAAGTATGAACATGGTTAAATATGGCCAGCTGTGGAACAAGCAATCATTTAATTAGTTAAAATGCATGAAACATTGGATTTATTGATGATGAAAATGTACTGTACAGTAAAAAAAAATCATTAAATTACATTTTAAAGTACAGTCAACTCAAGCTGTATAAGTCATTTCAACTTAA